GCCAGGCCTGACGCCGGTTGCTGATGATGCTATGAGCGTCTCAGTTCGGCCCGAGCCATTCGCGCATAGGGGGTCAGTGTGGAGCGGGCGCTAGGTCAGGCCGTGATGTAGCTGTGGCCTCCTGTTCCTCGCCTGGTGGCTGCAGCGGTGAGCAGATGGAGCGATTCATCTGGTGCGTCCCCACTCCCCTAGGAGGGAGAGGCCGTGAGTCGGTGTCGCGATGCGGAGCTCTCCGCCTATTGAATGGTGGTGGTTTCCACCAGTGCACGGAGGTTCCGGTGGATCGCCTGTTTTTGGGGGTCGTCCGGCTCGGGAAGGCCGCGCAGAAGCATCGCCACAGCGGCGATGTTCTGGCTAGCCCAAGCAAACTGTGGGGGATCATTCCCCCCATCCATGATGTTGTGTTGGACCTGGCGGGCATGACCCCAGGCGTCGCTCGCCTGGTTACGTGCACAGGGCGTAGCGTGCTAAGCCGAGCGCACCGGCGCAGGTGGCGGCTGGTTCTACCGCCTTTGTCGTAGCTCCTCACCGTGCTCCTGCGCACATGCAAGGGCCTCCATGCGAGGGTCCGGAGGGGTGTGGGTCTATAGAGACTCCGCCACCATCGGCGGCTATCCTAGAGCATCCGCCATAGCGCACTCCTAGGACAGAGGGTGGCTAGGTGCCATGACGTCACCAATGCTGGAGTTGTCGCTCTCAACACCGTCATCCATGAGGTTGTGGAAAGAGGTGGGAGCGTAGCCCGCCATCCCCACAAATTCGGATGTGAGAGGGGGCGGCGCCCGTATCTTTCGGAGCCCCCGTGCGTACGCGTCCATGGGGGATGCGATGCCGTAGGGGAACCGATCACATGGTGGTCGCGGCAGGGACAACGGGGTCCCTCCGGAGAGTCGGCGGAAAATATAAAAAGCGAGTAAAGGATAGTATGTACGTTACTCATAGTGGGGTTTGAGCCCAGTGTAGGCTCAGAGTGAAGCGCAGGTGCCTCGTCGTTGAAGTCACCGAGAGTCCCGGAGGCGACGGAGGGTGCCCCTCCAACGGGCGCCGGAACAAGTGCCTTCTTGCGAAGGCGCAGCACGCCGAGCTGGTCAGCAACGAAGTCTAGGCTTCTGAAGAGGAAGGTCTGCGACAGCTCGAAGACGGGTGGAACCCACATCCCAATAGGTGGGAGTGCAGGAAACTCCAGCGAGCCGAAGCGAGTCATATCGCTTGAGTTCGCCATGGCGAAGATGGCAGAAAAGTGGGCCATCCGATGATCAAAAGCGTGAATGTACAGCGTCTTCCCCACGGACGGCGCCAACTGTCGGTGCGAAAAGTGACCAACACGTAAATATTTGTAGTTTTTGTCGTACGTTGTGATCGGATGTGGCCTAGCACTCAATGACACAGGGTTTATACTGGTTCAGGCAACATGCCCTACGTCCAGTTTGAGTCGGTCGATGACTTTATTCCTGAGTCCAGGTGCTCGAAGTTTGCTGTGGGGTTACAATCGAGAGGGAGTAAGATGGGGGGTATCAGAGGTCCAGTCGGACTCTGGACCAAAGGGCCAAGAGTGACGGGAGCTCCAACATGCGCTAAGTGTTCAAACGTAAGCTCTGTCTGGCTTTAGAGGTCTAGAGCCAAGCAGAGAGAATCAGAATCAGTTGTCTAAATCCTCAATTGTCAATCGATCGTCCCTTTTGGAGAGACTGCATCCCCTTTTATAGATGAAGGAGACGACTTTACAAGAGAGAGGGTGTGAGAGAAAGAGAGTGTGTGTACTACCTAGCCTTGTTGCCCACGCCGTCGGGTACAAGGCGGTTTGTTGGCGCCCACAATACTATTGACGCCTAGATGCATGTGGTAGGCTCCATCGTGTTCTTCTGGTATGGCCAATGTCGGCGCCTACCATACTGTGGGACAAATGTCGGCGCCCACAACACTATTTGTGTTCTGACATGTCTGGAAGGTTGTAGAGCACCCTTCTGACATGACCTGACAGTACTATCCTACAAGTGTGCAGGGTACGGTCCTCGGTATTGCGGTTTAACTCGAGCGCCCTGCCTTACTCGCTTCACCTAATTCTTTGGGTCCTTACCGAGTGGGCGTCCCCAGTCGGTTTTGATCATGCCGGTCAGAGAAGAGCTATAAGAAGGGGTTCGGTGAAGCGAGCGCCGTTCCTCCTCGGCCAGGCCTTCCGGTCGGAGAGGCGAGCCGAAGTCGGAAGCGTGCGTCATTCCTCCTCGACCAGGCCTTCCAGTCGGAGAGGCGGGCCAGAGTCGGAAGCAAGCGCCGTTCCTCCTCGGCCAGGCCTTCCGGTCGGAGAGGCGGGCCAGAGTCGGAAGCGAGGCCTTCCGGTCGGAGAGGCAGGCTAGAGTTGGAAGTGAGGCCTTCCAGTCGGAGAGGCAGGCCAGAGTCGAAGGCGAGCGATGTTCCTCCTTGGCTAGGCCTTCCAGTTGGAGAGGCGGGCTAGAGTCGTAAGGGAGCGCCGTTCCTCCTCGGCCAGGCCTTTCGGTCGGAGAGGTGGGCCGGAGTCGGAAGCGCCGGAGTCGGAAGCGAGCACCATTCCTCTTTGGCCAGGCCTTCTGGTCGGAGAGGCGGGCCGGAGTCAAAAGCGGGCATCGTTCCTCCTTGGCCAGGCCTTCCGATCGAAGACTGGATCGCCCTTCTGGCCTATCGTTTAGGTATTTTGGGCCGGCCCAGGAGTTGCGCATCGTTCGCAACGTCATCTGCTGGGCCGAGCTTTTGCTGGGAAGCAGGTCCATTAGGGACCCTGGGTTTATGAACCCGACAATAGGCCTAAGGTATAAGGATTAATGAAATAAATAGTAGGGTTTTGGTTATCTCCTGTTTTCTCTATCCTATCTTTCGGAGCAACCTATCTTTATCGGCTTATATTTCTGTCTTTAGACTACCAAAAATCATGACAAAATTCTAGACAATAGTAAACTTTAATATCTTTCGCTGACCACAAGAATCACCCTGATAGCTATGTTGGTTATAGAGTTATGAAAATCACAAGACGATGCACCTGTGCTGTCTAAAACCTGGAGCAGTTTCTGTTGTGCGCTATTTTCGACTACCTGATCTACAGAATAGGGAAGAGTGTTTTATAAGGAAGTTGTGGAGGATTTGATAAGCTTTCCAACGGTATAAGCTATAGCTTCATTGGATTAACAGAATAGGAGTTACAGCTGTTTTACTGAGCTATTGTTTTTCTGCTCGCGAGAAATTTTAGATTTCTTGTTCTTGCCCATACACGAGAGTATCATTGGAATATCAGAACGTCTTGATACTAGTTAGCTCATCTGAAAGAAGGTGCAAGCTATCTATTTGTCTCCCCTAGTTGATCTTTTCTTAAGGGGTAGCTAAGTTGAAGGATTTGTAAGATAAATTTCCTTACATTCTAGCGCTTCATTTCGAGGTACCAGTTATCTCTAGGGTTGGTCTTCTCTTGTCTCTATTGCCATCAAATCCCCCATCTATAGAGCAAGCTTTGATGACGCAGACTCAGTTATTACAGACTATTGTTCAAAGTGTGTTGTACAATCTCTGCAGAGTGTAAAACTGGTATATCGGTCGTGCTTACGGTCACGACCGGCCTTGGACCCTTACGGAATAGATAATGAACACTAATAATACGGATGCTGAAGATGCTCATTAATAATTACTGTTTAGGCTATTCATTATTCATGTTTACCTGATCATGTGTTTATATGGGCTTGTGATAAACTTATTGTTACTCCTATGCTAAAATTGTGACTCAATAAAAGCTAATCACAATTAAACCAGTGTCAGCCTTTTGAGCCTCATGAACCCATGTTATATTTGTTGCGTACGACATGTACTTACGCTTACTTTATTTTTCACATATTTGGAAAAAATCCCGGATGGGTACCAGATTGCTAGAGTTTAGAGGAATTAGGCTTGTGATCAACTAGTCAGTTGTCCCTGTGGATTGGAGTCTTCACCCAAAAATCGGAGTTGTTTTTCCGTTATTTGCTATCTAACGTTATATTCTTTATACTAGATACGTTATATATTGAGCATTGTCTATTGATATTATCCTTATTTGTAGCTATATGTGAGAATTGACTTTCTAGGCTCATATATGGTGCATATTTGGTTTTGTTCTTAAAACCGGGTGCTACAAAATCCCTTTGGGATCCTAGACTTTTCCTAGGGTGAGCAAGCTATGAGGATGTCATTTGAATAAATCATTTAGTTCTTCATGGGAGGAATTTCCATCCTGGGTTTGCATCCTCTTGCTTCCAAATTGACCTTAGAGCTTGGAAAAATCGTTGTTGCGTCTTTTCCTAGTAGTGTTAGATGTGTGCAGTCTCAAAATTATTGGTGCTTCTGTGTATCTTAGATTGGTGGAAATAAAAGTAATACAAAACTAAATGAAAAAAATCCTTTTATCAAATAAAGCACATTTGTATCTTTGTTACAATACTAACAAGAATATATATATATATATATATATATATATATATATATATATATATATATATATATATATATATATATATATATATATATATATATATATATATATATATATATAGACGTACTGTTCTGTAGCTGGCCGTAGAATAAGTTATTCTGTGGCCACTTTGAGTTACGATAATTACTATACTAATTTACGAGATTACGGTAACTCCCTCGTAAGTGATTTACTATAGCATTATGGTAAGTATCATCTTGAATTATATTAACCCATGTATCATAAATGTGTATTGTCATTATCGTAAATTGGTACAAACATTGTTCTTTATAGTAAATCAAGGTGGAATATATATATATATATATATATATATATAATAATAATAATAATAATCATATATATATATAATAACCCAAAGTTGAACATAGTGAATCAAAACCAACGCAAAACTGAATGCAAAATCCCAAAGCGAATAGGAAGAAGCTATGTGGAATATATCAGCACACCACGGTGGCCGCTCATCTAGTTGTCATTCCCTCCTCCATGGAAGCAAATGTCTTGCACGGTGTCAAGCTCAAATATTATTTTGTAGTCTCTCCTCCATTTTTTGTAAGTCAGCCAAATCTTTCGCAGCTAGCTCATCATGGGGAGCCTGGGCAGCCACCGTTCGAGCTGTTGGTGCCGCACGAGGCCCCCCCCGGAGCTGCTTCAGGTACATTTGCCGGGGCAATTGCAAAACACCATTTCCGGGGACGGCTTCCATGCCCGGCGACGATGACAACGCATCGCCATCGACCCGCAACGGCCGCGCCGCTCCTCCTGGGGCTGCCAAGAACGCTATGACCAGCATGAGTAACACCGGCACAGCAGCAATCCCTCTTGCCATGCCGTATGTATGTAGTAGTGCAAATAAATGATCACCAACAACCTGTTAATCTCGATCAACACAATTCAAGCAGCACTTCTAGCTTTTGTTCGATCGATCTGATCCGCTTCTTGTGTGTGTTCTGTTGTGTACACAATGGGATGATGAGAGTTGCATGGACCGTCCAGTGCGTATATAAAGGGCAGGGGACCTACGGCAAGTTTTATAATCGAACACTAACTTCACATGCTTGCTAACCGATCGACTCGTTAATTTATTCAAAATCATCCGCTTTTCTTTTGAATTGACTAATTGAGTACTCCATCCACCAATTTTAGCTGCATTTTGGTTTGAAAAGGTCAAAATGTCCAAATTGTGACCACATTAGTCAAAATATGTGCATTTTGCAAAAGTGATTTAAATATGTTAATATATGAATTAGTTTTAAGATGATGTTAATTTTGCAGTGATTGACAATACACTATAAGTGAAATTAAATGTAGAATTCTATCTACTCTCAAAGATTTGTTACTTCCAAAATACAACTTACGTCGTTTAGTTTATTTCCATCTCATTCAGTCAATTGGGAATTAACATGTGGAGATATTCAGACTGTTGCAAATTCGCGTAGAGTGACTACTGAGGTGAAATTAACGGGTAACATATGTTTTTTTTTGTTAAGAAAATTGTCTCTCATTCAGATCACGACAGTACCCTAGCTAGGCTTTAAGTCAGGAAATATGGAATAATACCATTCCATCAATGAAACAAAAGAAAAGAGAGAGAAGATGATGGATATGTAACAAGTCTCTCGAAACTAGAGTAAAGGCTTGTTTGGATGTTGCAGTTTACAAAATTGTAGTATACAAATTCTCAGTTTAGAAGCTAAAGATGTGTAAAACTATGATTTAGAAAAAAATAGATTCAGTAGAGTTTCTAGCGCCCGCCCCCCACCCCCCACCCCCCAAAAACAAAGTACGGTTTTGATGATACCGTAGTTTAAAAACTGCAAGGTTTATTGCATTGAGCCATATAAAGGAAAAGTTTCGATTATCGAAGTGCTTTATAAAACCATATAGTATTTGTTCAATACACGATCTAATTTGTGATTCTTTCACATCAACGATTTGGTCATAGGTTTAGTGGGCGTCCAAATCAAAGAGCATATATAAAAATTTGTTAGCATCATATAATTGCTGGTTAAAAGCCTAATCACAGGTACAGGGGGACAAGATTTATAGATATAGTACATATGGTCGGCCATTAATTCGGCAATGCAGGACCGCCTATGGCACACGCATGTTGATTTTAGGTTTCCTCTGACTTCATGTTCAACCCGGACGTACGCACGGACACAGCTTTTTTATTTTGGGGTCAAACACCATGACATATGAATCGACTGCATAAGCATGGATCGATGCATTCGCTCAGGTGTTTTGGAAATCTGGACTTGTTGGTCTCCGCTTCGTAAACTGACAAGTTTAAATTGGCCATCAATAACTTCAACAAGCACATGCAATGCAACATGCATGCGCGCATATGTGACGTTATGGTGTTCGGCCTTTCTTTTGGACTGCACGACGTACAAAAGCTGACTCAGTCGGTTAATTAACCCAGGGAGGCGCCGTTAGCCAGGTTGACCATGACCACTAGCTTCTCCCTCCAAATTCTCCCTTTTCCCTTTTTGTTTTCTTTTGGACAACTAGCTTTTTGTAAAGGATCGGAAGGAGCCTGGATTACCTAATTGCCGACGGATTGCATGATATCTGCTGTGGCTGCATTCTGAACCAAATATATTTACACTGTTTATACTTAATATTAAATTAAAAGAAGAAAATTTCTTCCTCTAAATTTTTGTCCTTCACTCTCTCCCCAAAATCCATATGTACCTCCAGTTTTGGCCGGTCTTAATAGTAGTAGTAGGTGATGAAATAGAAATAAAAGTACTTTTCGAGATGTACAACTTTGTTTTGGCCGTTTCTTCCTCCGAGATTGTTTAAAAATTCAAATTTTACAAGGCAACTCCTAGAAATAGAGCCACCTCTAAAAATCGATTTCTAGCCTCTGCAAATGCATTTCTAGAGGCGACTCGGTTTAGAGCCACTGTACAGGCGGTTGTAAATTGACCCGCCTCTAAAAAAAGCTCTCATTGTTGAAAATCAATTTTATAGTAGTGCATCAAGTATCTATATATGGGTGTTCTATTGAAAATGAATAAAGAGGGAGCGCAAAAGGATAAGTAATTTTGATTGGTTGTAGGTACAAAACACATGAACTTCCAAGCCTATTCTTGATAGGGAGTATCATACGCATTTATTAGATGCCATGTAGAATACTTTGCTTATGTGCTAAAGAATTATTTTGAAGAGAGAATAAAGTTTGTATCGCCATGTTGATTCAATTTTGACACCAATATAGATACTTGACATTAAATTCAGCAGTTTAGACTATTGTTGTAGACATAGTGATGGATTCAGCTTAGACTATATCTATATTCTATATTCTATATTCTATTCTATTCTATATATCTTATATTTTCAAACCCCACTTGTAATTTATCTTGTCATGCAAAATATCCACATCAGCATCCACTAGAACATCTTACTAGCACATGCAACTATCTCGCCATGCAAAGTATCCACATCAGCATCCACTAACACATCCAACTAACACATGCCATTATGTCTTCATTCAAGGTATTCACATTAGCAAACCACATCATTTACTAACATATATTTAGTTGTCCACGTCAGAATGCTAAAAATCATCCACTAACATGTATTATGAATTCAATCATATTAGTAAATATAAGTAGTATAACTTCACCAGTGATTCCCGTAGCAACGCGTGGGACGTTCTTCTAGTATTGTTGTAGACACAATCTCTATTTTCTATTAGAATACAGTGATGAAACTCATGTACCATAGAGGTTATTTCTTCCTCAGAATTTAATACCCTCCATGTGATGTGGTGGCCCTTAAATTAAATATCAGAGTATGCAATCATAGACTGAAACAACCTATATTTTTTTTTTAGGAAACTAGAGGGGCCGCAGCCCCTACATAATTTTTTTATTGAAAAGGAAAAGAGGGTTATTTACAATGCAAAATTAATTTACTGAGAGAAACTAGGGGGAGGAAGAACAGCTTCAAGATACAAAGAAGGAAACAAAGAAAATAAGGCAAAAGCCGGGGGGCTCAAATCATTTCTAGCGGTTGGATCCATTGTTCAAACAGAGTTGAAGATGAGTTCATTGAAGAAAGACCATTCTTGCTACTTTAATAAAGATTCTTCTACAATCCTGTATGCTCACTTGATTTCCATTGAAGATGAGTTCATTTCTGGCCAGCCAAAATTGTCCAACACATGAGAATGTTTGCCACCATGAAGAATTGAGAGTTGATCTAATCTTTGAAGGCAGTAAAGTTTTCAAGAGTTCCACTATCCAAGGAAGTTGTTAAATTGATCAGGCCCCAACATTGTTGGGCAAAGGGGCAATGTAGAAACAGATGCTCAGTGCTTTCTTCAACTCTAAGAGCACAGAGCTCACAATTGTATGAATCTTAGAGATCAAGATGTGGAGAGAATGTTCAGGCTACCTCTTTCACAGCTAGCTACATCTCAGCTGGTAGAGGTACAGGAGCTCATGCAGGAAAGGATAGGAGACAGTAATGCTAATGATAATTGGAACTATACTTGGGGATCTCCAAAATATAGTAGCAGGAAAGCTTATAGTCTATTAATTGGACACATTGGTGCCTCACCACTGTTCTCTTGGCTTTGGGCTTCTAGTAATTTGGGTAAGCACACAAATTCTTCTTCTGGTACTTCTTAGAGATAGACTGAACACAAGAAATCTTTGAGAAGAAAAAATATGGAACTTGAGGATTATAATTGTGTCTTATGTAATGATGGACATGAAGAAACAAGCTTTCATCTTTTCTTTGAATCTGCCTTCAGTAAGCCTTACTAGAGCTCTATTCCAATAGATTGGAACCTGAACCTGCAGCCTCTGGATATGGTATTAGAAGCCAGATCATCTTTTGGGAGTCCCATTTTTAGAGAAATTTTCATCACTGCATATTGGACAATTTGGACTACTAGAAATGGAGTCATTTTTGACAATGATCAGGTCAACATCAACACAGCGAAAACACAGTTCCAGAATGAACTTGGCCTTGTGTGCCTCAAAGCCAAGCCAGCAAGACAGATGATCCTCAGCTCGTGGAGAGATAATTATTTATGATGTATTCTTCTTTTGTTTTGGGCCTTGATGCCTTGTAATAGTTACTTTCTCGTTACCCTTTGTACATTACATTCTTTCATGTATTCTAGCCGGTGTAGAGCACACGGGTTAATGCATTAACTAGTATTACTTGAATCGCACAACAAAATAGCAAATATGATGCACCAGTCACACCTGAATACATGCATGCGTCCGTCAAGCAGTCATGCCTAAGCAGGCAGTTTCTGCACGCACATGACGGCATGTACACACCAACAATGACGATCGACGACCAACCATCATTTCGACTGCGTCGTCGCAAAAGGTTGGAGCACAATTCTGTCCAGATCAAACGAATCCTTGGCATCCAAAAAAGGCTCTTTTGTCTCCTGAATAATCCTGATGCATGATTGACGAATGAAATCTATCTGGAGTCAGACTAACGGGTTGTAAGCCGGCCCTTCAATCATGTTCTGCTTCTAATTAAAAAAAAATCATGTTCTGCATTTCGCCGCATTCTTCCTTAATAATAATAAAAAAAGGTTGGGCCACCACTCGGAAAGGTGGATGCACACCACAATGAATTGTTCACTGCTGCTCTTTGGTTTAGTTATTAGCATAGCATTAATAAGCCGTGCATTAGCATGTGAAGTTAGTGCCCTCCTAGAAAGAACATTCCTGTGAAGAAGCCCTGTAACATCCTCGCAGGTGCACTCGTACCAGAGAGCTTCTATTGCGCTATTGTCATGCATGACACACATACTATGTACGGAGTATATGCAATAATGCAAACAGG